TTTATGATATTTCTAGTTTTTAAGTTTTTTTTTTTTAATCGCGGTGTCCGAGCCAGCTTATGAGCAGCTTGACTCATTTCAAGTACCAAGTAACTCCGCCAAATGCATGGAAATAGTTACCTACTCCCTCCGGCTCTTTAAGGAGGTGTTTGGTGGGAGTTATAAGATATAATAATTAATAATCTCAGGAGAAAATGCAGTATTATTTTATACTGTGTTTAGTTGGAGGTAGGTAATCCTTGGATTGTTTATTCCACTATCTATACCTTAGTGATGAGATAAGTTATCTCATATACATGGTGGAATAACTTATACCGGGATAATTAATCTCGAGATAACTTGTTTTTAACCAAACGACTCATAAGTGTGTTAGTTTGATTGGGCACGAAGTTTATGAAGCAAGAGAAACATTTGAATTTTGTGGTTTTAACTTAAAAAGATGTATGTAGTACTTTTAAATCTTGTGTTCTGAAACGTTCTATGGAGGATGTTGGAATTGGAAAACTTACTAAATACAGAAAGAGACTCTCTTTTCGGGACAGACCAAAAAGGAAAGTAAGACACTTTAATTGAGACGGAGGGAGTACTATTTTGCCGCCTCTAGAATTCGAACTTGAGACCTCATGGTTCTCAATGCGCAACTCTTTATTATTTCAATGATAGTGTGGATTGTAGAATCCATGAAAGGAGGATGTATTTGGAATTGTATTTTTATTTTATAAATAACAATAACCAAGCACTAAGACAATGCTTGTGATTACATGATCAGGGGTTCCCCTATACAAAAACAAAAAGAAAGGAACCCATTTGTACAAAAAGCCTATTCTTGCAGTGAACTGATCTAGTCTAACATGTTGTTTTCATCCTTTAGCTACATAATTGTAGTAAAAACTACAAACTGATGATCTCTAATTGTTGGATCACATTTGCTTCCTTTGAATTGGGTCATTCTTTTCTTGTTGTAGATTGTATTCTGTATAAGATATTTTTCAAATTTTACATATTTTTATGGTGTGACAATTTGTAGGCTGAACTTAGAGCAAGCGTTTTTGAGGCAATTGAAGACGAGGATAGGGTAATTGAGAAGGATGAAACCTTGCCTCCTGCGCTATTGGGTAGCTGCAATGATCAGGCAAAACAACTCCATAACTCACCTTCAGGTCATTTTTTATTTTTGTCCTTTTTGTTGGTCTTTTGCTTAAATCATTGCAAATTTTTGTGTTAAAGATGGAAGGAGACATACTTATCTTCTCTAGAACATTTTTATCGACTTTGGTAATATATATCAGAAAGCTGAGTTGTTTTCATATACTGCAGCAGACCGTCTATTAAAAGTCACAATCTGTTGTCTGGATTGACATTTGGTTGAACAACCTCTGCCAGCTCTTCAGACCTAGAAATTCAATATCTTTTTTAGGATCTGATTCTGTGAATCTCACTCCTGATAAACCTATGTCTAACTTGCAGATGGCTACACCTTTTGCTTTCCCAACAAATATGTTACTTTCCTGTTTCAGATTCATTTAGTTTGTATTTTGTGATGAAATAAGATATCCAAAACAAATTACAATCTCCAATATCAAATTTAATGTTTCCAAGACACTAAAAAGTCTTGGAGAAAATACTAGAGAGTACATTTTTTCTTCCATGTCTAAACGGTAAATAATCTTTGATTTATCTCAGGTAAACATATTGAAATTGAAATGCAAATGTCTGGGAGCATGATAATAATATGTTTAGTACTTGACAATATATCTTTTCTCCTTAACTACTAAGCCCTAAATTAACTACTAAACCCCTACATAGTCTAATATTTCAACTTTTGGCATTTTATGTCAGAGAACTAGTGAAATGTGTTCATTCCATCTTTTAGTGTTTCTTTCCCTCTTTTTGATTGCTTTTTAAACACTATTTAAATCATGCTTAAAATATATTCCCAAAACCTCTTTTTCCTTCACATTCTTAAGCCAAACTCATAACTATTCTTGGTTTACTCACTGTTTGGCCCTCATTATATTGTCAGTGCTCCAAATATCTAGCTGGGCATGCGAGGGTGTGTAGAGTATTTCACATTGGTTGGGGGAATGGATTCTTATTATATGGTCTTGGCAACTTCATAAAGAATGTCTTATCTGAATATACAAAAAGCAACATCATTTACAAAAAAATACTAAATTTTGAGGGCTATACCCCTTGAAGTAAAACTTCTCTGGTTACTTTAGAATTTTCTCAAAGGTTTCTAGACATGTCTTAATTGAATCTAACTGGGATGATAATGTACCTCTTCTTGCAGTCCGTACATCTTATGATCAATGCATCAACATAGTTGTGTTTTAGGTCTAAGAAGTGTTAAAATTTAATACATCCTTGATCCTCGAATAGTAGATCACTTTGCTTATTCATTTTAACAGTTTGATTGTTCTGTGTGCAGGAAGGCTACTAACTGCACTTATATGTGAATATTTGGATTGGGCTCAATTAAACCACACACTTAAGGTGTATTTGCCAGAGTGTAACTTGGTAATCATGTACTGTGCTCTCCGGTGTGAGTTTATAATACCTTTCACAAAGTCTTGTCAATATTTAGTTTTAAATACAAAGAACCCATTGTGTGATTGTGCAGCCAAAGGAGTCATGGAAATCTGAGCTAAAAGAATTCAGCAGCAAGAATGGATATGATCTTAACAGGAATGGTGACAGTGCACCGTTGCTTTTGGATGTTCTTGAAGGATTCTTGAAATACGAGGTTTGACATATAAACGTTAGTTATTGATTGACATGTATAAAAAAAAGTGTATCAATATGTAAAAATTGATATAGAAACTTAGTTGGTAGTAACTAATTGTTGTTCTGCTTTTGGGATCTCCAATGTTCTGGCTGTGTTGTTGCTGTTATTCCAGATGGTTGGAGGTGTTAATTTGTGTAAATGATTTTATTATAGTATTTGCAAATAACAGTTTCCTGTACTATGTGGGTCAGTATGCAAAAGCGTGTCTACTAGAAATAATAGTAAGTAATGTTTCTAATTTTGTTTTATTTTTTCCCAGAACTTCTCTCAAGCAAAGGGTGCTGGATCTCTGTCCAACACTGAAGCTAGGAATGTTAGGAAGCCTTCTTCATCTTCAGTTGCCGGCGGGTTACCTCCGTTGGGAAGGTTAACATATAAAATATTATCACTTCTTTTACTCTTTTGTTTGGATTTAAAATTGACTTGGAACCATTTTACGTCACAGGCCAGGTTCTGCTGCGCAGTCATCTGGTAAGTAGTCTAGCTGGCCCTCCCCCTTTCTGGCAGTTAATTCCCGTAGCATGAATTTTTGATATTGTTGAGTTTCTAGACAGAAGGGCAGGTTCATCTATATCCGGATATAGGAAAGATGAATACAACTGGAGATATGAAAATGAAGAGCTTTCGCAAGATGTAATGCTTGCCTCATCTGCCTTAGAAAACCTTCAATTGGACAGAAAAGCTCGGAACCTTACCACTTCATGGCGGTCAGTGTTTAAACTCTCAAAGGACTTAAATTACATATTTGGTTATAATGTAATTATCTGTTGGCTTGTAATGAGTCCTCAGTTTTTGTGGATTATAGTGCCAAAAAAATCATGTTTTTTAAGTGCTCCCCTCAAAGACATTACTATGCTTGCAAAGTCCTCCCATTTTATTTGATAGAGTAGATGTTTGTTACATCTACATGTCAAGGTAAGGGTAAGGTCTGTGTACACCCTACCATTCCCAGACCCCACTTGTGGGATCATATTGGGTATGTTGTTGTTGAGTAGAAGTTTGTTACATGAGTGTCATGGGAAGTTCAAGTATATCATCGTGATAAGTGATTGCCAAGAACTGATGATAAGCTGCGGAAGTTCTTGAAAAACATTCATAGAGTAGTTTTTCCTTTTGTTGATGTCTCCGTCGTTTGTCATCCTTTAAATTACTGTCCAGCAAATTGAGTGGTATCTCAACTTGTACTGAATTTTGCAGACACAGAGGTGATGGCATTTCTGAGGATGATGGCAGGATGGAATAATAGATGAGATTATATCATCTCCAAATCACTAATTATATGGGAGTTGATGATATCCTTCAACTTAGAAATGCAATGTTCTAATGTACGCTATGTATGATTTATATACAATATTGCTTGTAGTAATTTGTGTGTGCTTCTCATTTTCGTTTCTTTTTTCTTTGTTCATTTTTGTTCTCTCCCCTTATCACGATGTCCCTTGTGTGGCAAAGCAAGCGGTGTTTTTAATGCAATTTTTCGTCATATTAATGGTTCTTAGTGCTGGCATATGAGTGGATTCATAATGGGTAATGCTATATCCGACCCATTCATATTTTCATGGAACAATGATTGCTTTGAGGTGGATGCCTAAATTACCTAAATTATCACCTTTTTGTGATTTTTGTATCTCAACTATTCATTGTTCTCTCTTTTTACCCATCTAAACTTGTATTAAAACCCATCTCAATCCATAGCTAGCGCGTGTAGATTATCTCAACATTGAGGTGTGTTTTAATATAAAGAGAAGGTAATAGTTCAGGTAATTATCTTGAAAATTAAAGAAGAAAGGGGGTAAGCTTCACAAAATACCAAAAAAAAAAATGTTTGAAGCTCACGAACAATCACATTAGCTAACCCCTAACTATGACACGAGGGCTACCTAGTTCTCTTTTGCCTCTTTCTTTCCTACAACTGAAAACTATCCATAGGCCAAACTTGAAGGTTTCAACCTTTGAAGTTTTTCTTTACATGATCTTATTATATTTTTATAATTATGGGTTGAGATTTAAGACAAGTATTTTTTTACATATAAGTATGTTTCGCATTGTAAATAGTCTGTACGGATGAATATGTGTAAGAGCTGTATCTCCCTACAGGTGTGGAAACACATGTTCATTCGAACCCTTTGTCGAAAAATTATAATAATAGAGAATTGCTATAGTATAAGCATTAACGGGGTGGAGGTGAGGGGACTAGTAAATTCTTCCATACTTTGTCATCAAGTGATTGTACAACTTGGGCACCCAGCACGATTTACAATTGAAGGGAGGAATACATAAGATTGAGAATGATTTTACAAATACAGTAACCCAAATGCCCTTTTTTTTCTTTACACCATTTTACTGATTATTGTCTTACTTTAATGAATAAGCAACTGAATACAAAAATTATCACCTCTATTATAAAAATATAGTGACCAATATTGAGGGCATTCGACATTTGGCGTCATTATATGAATCTGCATCTTTAGGCCTCTTGTATTTTCTTCTCGAACTGATGATCATTTATTTCCTTCTGCTCCTCATTCACAGTTTTGGTGTCATTAACCTCCTCGGCCTGCTTCCCCTGTTTCACTCAATTATTTTTATGCCAGATATTAGAACCAGCCCGTCAGTTTGGCTGTTAAGGAACAAAGAAACGAGAAAACTTATATATTTTTCAGTGTATATTACTATATGTTGTCTCATCTGCTTTGTATCTTGTTATTTTATTGTCATATTATTGCAATTATGATTTGTTGAAACTTTTCTTTTGAGTTGAGGGTCTATTGAAAACAACCTATCTACCTCACTAAGGTAGGGGTGCATCACTGCTTGTGGGATTACACTGGGTATGTTGTTTTACGTAAGTCATACTACTACTACAACTTCAACCACATATGAGGGACTGGGGTTATGTAACTTTTCTGTAAGATAATCTGCGGTAATACTATCAAATGCTAATTCTTTAAAAGGGATAATTGCATCCCAAACTTCTTTTGCACTTTGGAATTACGTATGTGTTACATGGATATATTACACAAGAAAGTAGGAAATATATGACGATTTCATTAGTATTTAGTTATATATCTATCAAAAATCGTGTAGGCTGGAGGAGTCTGGCAGTCTTACAAGTGCACATGTGATGTCTAATAACTGCTAGAGAGGTGATGACCCAATCAACTAGGTTTCATCCCTAAATTGGAGAAACTTTAGGACATACCTTGTTGCTGTCACGCCAGCCAAGTCCAAACGGTCTTGAGAGCAAACTGATCTTTCTAGCAGGTATCTCTAGTGATGATTCTTGGTTGCCCCCTACAGGAGATGAAACTTGCTGCGTAGATCTATAAAAGAACATATTCTTCCATGTTAGACAAAATACAAGCTATGCATTAATGAAGGCGGTATGTTTTTCTTATTACTACATACATAGGCATGTATTGTCCTTTGGCAACCAATGAAGCAGGTGGAGTAAATAACACCACGATCACCAGGGCATAGTGTTTAATAACACAACAAAATTAGAACATGTAAGTATGCATATATACCTTGGAGAGGGTAGTACTTTATCTTGTCCAGATTGGTACTGTAAGGTAGCCTCCAACATCGATTCTGCCATAACCACCCTCTTTTCTGTCTCAGCAAGGGAAGCAATGGCTTCTTCATACTTTTCCTGCAGGTTGTTGCAATGACACGCAGGATGTTCAATATATCAGCCAACAAATGTCATATTTTCAATTCAAATTCCACCATCAAGCATGAAATCATGAACTAGATAGGTTTGAGAAGAAAATCACAAAGAATCCGGCTGAGTAAGAATTCCCAGATTAAGAACTAGAAATCAAAATGTTACACCACAAAATTGGATCATAGAAGAAACCTGTAGCAATTGAGAGGCATGTCTTTGAGCTGCTGCCTCTTGTTCAGCAAATATACGAGCATCTTCTGTTACCCTCTGTTCTTGCTCCACCCTCATCAAAACCTACAATAAATAGATAAACCCAAAATTTAAAGAAAGAGAGATTAGGAGATAATGTTACAATGCATCATCAAACAAGTGACAAAAATTGTCACCTGAAGCATGGCATTCTCTTGTTCTTGCTTAGCAACAAGGGCCTCTCGAAGCTCAGAAACCTGTCTTTCTAATTGCTCAACCTGAGTCCAACAGAAAATGCCAATGTTCAGATGTAATTGTGATAAATTCAATTTTCTCAAGGAAAAGGAAGACGATATATGCCAAAAAGCAATCAACATATTATGAAGCAGAATATGAGTAACAAAAGACTAAAGCAAATAAATATAAAAGCTCTAAATCCAAATGCACAGCAGGTAATGGTGATGCAGTCTATTGTGCTAACCATCTAGAAATTCCTCAAGTCTTCTATCCATACCGAAAAGATGTATGGAAGCACATAGTCACACTCACAGTAAGCCAAAAGGATTCATGGTACATTGTGTTATTTATCGATGAATCTGGTTCAGGTGTATATTCAAGATGAAAGTTGTATTTACTGTCAGGAATGAGGTTCAATCTGGGATATCAATGTAAGCAGAAGGAAATTATAAATGTTAGAGCAGCTCTATAAACAGGAAAGGCGCATAAATGCAAGCTTGAAGGAATGGACTGGCAGCTGGGTTATTATTTTTCCTTTGTTTTGGGGGGTTGGTACTTGGTAGGAGATGAGCTGGGGATATGATTTCCTGCTCTGAAGAAAGCACATAATTGATTTATAATGCAGCATCTTAAGTACCCGTGCGCTCAACTGCCGCCTGTTATCCTGCTTGACCATCTCCATCAACGCTGTTTCCAACTCCTCAGCTCTGTGGACATGGGAAAAATTGAGGAAAAGGATCAGTCCCCAATCAATATGAGATCTAGTTCCCTTAGCTTCCTATACACACAAAAAGTTAAAAGATTTCATCATTCTGAAAGCTCTCAAATTAGATTTGCAACAGAAGTTGAGAAATATTCAACTTCAGTGAAACCTTCTACAGTTTAACAGGTTCCCTAAATGGACAATTGAACTGCCACTCAGCAAACATCATGATTTTCCGTTTCTTGGATAAGAGTTTTTGCAATTTTTTCAGTGAGCTTGACGCTGGCAGGGATGAGATCCCCCTCGCCCTTGAGACAATTATAGCTGAACCTAATTACGTTTTGAATAGTTAAATTTGCACCACCTTCCCATGTTATAATCTGGTCTCACTGCCCCAAACCTGAATCTTGACAGCGCTACGGGAAGGACAAGAATAAGGAGAAACGGTGGTAGAAAATCACAAGAGGCAGGATTTGGATGAGCAGAAAGGGCAGAGACATGGCCTCAGTTCTTTTTTCACTTCTACCTTTTACTTAAATTATGAAAAAGAGGTCATTGTTGATGCAGCCGAAGTAAAACATTTGGCTTCAGATATAGGTTACAGCTTGATTGTAGCATAGATCATAAATTTTTGAAAATTTACCCAAAAGTATGTTACTTAGCTGTTTCAAAATCAGCTCATTCCTAAGGAACACAAAGGAAAGAGAAGCTAACACTGGAACTCCAACTCTCCCAGGACTAGTTTTGGGAAAAGTCAACCTGCACAATATTGCCTCACTAGATAAAGTAGCATGAACACACGAAATATGCACCTGAGTTCAGCAGATTTTTTCTCCTCCAGCAACTTGGACAACTCAACCTTCAGCCAGACCACCTGATTAAGGTCATGTAGCAATGTATGCAAAATAGATGGAAATCAGAATTGTGGATGACCAACTCAAACAATAGGTTATGATATTCAGATATTGGGAATATAACTTTGAGGATTTCCAGAACAACTGATCACTTACTCGCACACTTGTATAAACTCAGAATGAAATGAAACAAAAAAGAATAATACCGAAAAAAATAGAGTTGGAAGTAGGAATATAAAGGATAATAAAGAAAGGGAGTGGAGGGAAATGAAAACAATTTAAAAAGAAAGTAGAAGGAGAAAACTTGTGCATGCTTTACCATTAGAAATTCAATCGACGTTCATTTTCTTGGTGCAGCAAGCTACTTACACATTAGCACGCTAGATCACTTTTAAGTAAAAAGTTGCATATATCCCCATCACTAAAACTCTAATAGTTATGAACTCCAATTTATCCGCTCTTTTTCAATTTGTTCGTACATCCCGACCTTAGGTACATATTGATTTGTAAACTAAGCTTAAATCGATTTGGTGTAAAGAAAAATTAAAGGTCCTGCTTCAAGGACAGTCCTTAGTCCTTCTAATAAAAATTCCTAACCAGGAGAAGTTCCCTTCAAAATAAGGCATCAAGCTCACTGCCCAGTCAAGTTCTGCTTTATCAGGCAATTCATTCATAGTTTCCCATTTAAAGCAGTATTTACTTAAAGGGAGTAGTATCTTGCTCCAAAATCCTTACTTTGTTAGTGACCATCCAAATTTCACCTATGAGCACATATTCTATATGAATAATTCTATACTGCTGGAAAGAAGAATTAATTTCAGTACATTCTGCCATTCCAGATAATTGTATGAAACAAATTCTGAAGTCCCCATTTAAGCAAAAAGAAGATAAAGCAGGTAAACCAGGAATTATAAAAGACGATCAGGAAAAGAGGTGCAAAAAGTTGAAAAGACAGGCTTCAATGGTATATGTATGGGAAAATAGGAAGTTACCTGTTCTTGGAGATCTGGAGCAGAATCTGTTTCCACATTACCATTAAGGTTCATGTGAAGTTCATCCACATAACTAGATGCATCACTATTCATCACTTCATCAGTTTTTTTATCTGTTCCAGTGGTTCCAACAATTACAGATCCAGGATCATGCTCAAAACTGGTGAGTTTAGAAGCTAACCCCTGACAGTCCCTCCAAACTCGAAGTCCTTTGAACCTCTCTTCAACAGCAGCCTTCACAGCTGGTCGATGCTTATTTCTTAGTTCTTCTAATCGAGCTTCATTAACATTTTGATAGCCCATGCAGGCTGTCAGCACCAGTTGACTGCTATCGAATGTGGAGCCAGCAAGTGACTGCAACAGGGTAACTGCATCCCCTGCATCTTTTGTGGTAACTAATGCAGGTCCTGAATAACAAATGAGTACATCACTTTTGAGCTCCACAAACAAGTGAATTGAACAGCAATGGCAAAGAAGAAAAGAAGCTTGCGTAAACACAATGTTTAGAAACTTTCCAACTCTCATGAATTTAAAAAATTACCATAAAGCTCCATCAAAGCAAGTGCAGTATGGAATAACATCACTCGGTTTCCTTCAAACAGAAGTACATCCCAGACTCTGAGGACTAAAACCAAAAAAGAAACATAAGAAAGGGGGTAAATAACCAGTAAGACAATTCAAGAGCCAAGAAGAAGGTTCAGGCAAATGACCTCAAACTGACCATCTCATCAGCTTAAAACCTATAAATATGTAATACCAGCCTTACTATAGATCAGAATTTTCAAGGCAAGATAAACCAACTGACCACTTTCCCATGGAAGCATGTTCATAAATATGGAGAGGAACCATGGTCCAGCAACCCATGCTACCTGAACTCCCAGGTAATCAAGATGATTAACTGCACGGTTGCATCAATTGGGAAGTCAAAACACATGGCAAGCAATATAATCAACAGAAATTTGGAAAATGAGCTTGAATTAAGAAAGTGAGAACAAGAGACATACCCAATTTTGGAAATTTCTCCCGCACCAACACCTCAAGAACAAGTTGGTCAACCTGATGAGAGAGAGTGTAGCAAATAAAATTGTGATCTTTATATTTCTCACAATGCAATTTATGTGAACTGCAGCAAGTAGAAGCAAAACATGATTGTCACCTGACACTCTATCATCTCTTCTGAGTAATAGCCATCAAAATAATCATCTAGAATCCCCACTAGAGTCCTGTAAGTTTATCAACATTTTTATTCCACAGGAGTGAAACACATTTTGCACTTCAGACCAAATAAAACTCTTAAAGTACAAGGTATTAAAGAACACAAAAGTTGTTCCAACTCTGAATTGCAATTATAACCTCTTCCTTTTGGAAGCGGAAAACTACTGAGAAGCACCTTTGTAGAACATAATTGAAGACACATCCATCTAGGAGAACAAGATGTAGATGAAGTTCAAAACATACCAAAATGCATTTTCTTCGGGCATTAGAAGCAATAGCAGACCAGCAAAAAAATTCATGGCCTGCATTATCAAACGAGCAAAACTGAGAAATACCGAAGGGTAAATGATACGATCCTGAGAAAATCTAGTCCACTTAGAAAAAGACAGCTTGTGTATTGCCCAGACAGGTGAACCACAAGTTGAAAGAATAAGACCTTCATATGGAACTGGAAATGTATCATCATGTTTACGATCATGATATAAAGTTTCCCCCTTTATATCTTTCTGTTCTATCTTACTCGTAAGAAAATTTTCGAAAAAAGGTTCTCCCACGGATTTTCTTTTACGATCTTTTGGTTCCCTGTTAGGTAATAGTGATAGGCATTCAAAAGAATGTGCAAAACATTTCAGTCAGGCTACAATTATTACTAACTCTCAGAAGCTCCAATGCGGGGCAGCTATCATTTGAAATTTTATCCGGTAACACTATTAAAAAAAACATTTATGTGGTGCTTCCCAAAACACATCTTAACTTTTGTTATGTGATTGCGAGAAGATTTCAAAGAAGAATCTAAACGACACCGTAAAATAAAATTCAATCAGAAACTGGTGATGTAGCAACTGAAGACAAAGAATACTTCGGGCAGTATTACAAAATTCAGCAACTATCATTATATCTTCTCTAAAGATATCTGAAAAAAACCTCGCACCAGTTATCAATCAAGAAAGAAAAATGTGGCACTAGATATTTCTAGCTCTCCAATAAGGCGATAAATTAATACCAAAACTCAATCGATAGCCAGTTTATGATTTTTTGATTTGCCAAGTCTTACGCCACATGGTCCATCCAAATGTCAAGCATCAAAGCAAACATATTTAGTCGGGCACTACCACCCACAAAAAAGAGTAAGAGACCACTAGCAATAGAATTACCTGACAGTAGCCTACACAGGGATTATGCCGAGCATAGGCAGTAAGTAAACGCCTTAAAGCATTTCTTCCATCCTCATCTAGAGCTGGATGTCCAGGAAATGTTCTGGGTAGATCCTGTGTCAAAAGAGCAAGGCAAGATTGAAGCCAAAATGGATACTAACCCAACAGCTATATAAAATGTTGTGGTTACTGCAAAAAAAGGTCGATAAGTAGCATGTTGGAAAGAGAAAAAAAAAGTAGCATGTTCAATGACCTTCTCAATTTGCCCTCTCCAATTTTCAGGAAGAAATGCAGTATCTATGCTTGAGTCCACACAACTTCCATCCTTTGATACAGTGCTTATATCCTCTGCATTATTACCAGGTTTAGTGCCTAAAGCAAGCAAATCCTGGTAATAGGTCTCCACCCTGCGTGCCTTTACACCCACAAAGGCTTGCCAAAGCTGTGATGCAAGTGTCAAAAATATACAAATAAAGCTGATGCATGAACTCAGATAACTCAAGGAGAAACACCATAAGAAGATTTTGAGCATTTTATCTAACCTCTCCCCTGAGAGCCATGGGTACTCCACCTTGAACAAGACACTCCAGTTCTTCTTTCCAAGATGGTAAAGACTCTTGACATTTAGTAGCCAAATGACTAATATTTTCATTTAGAGAAACATCTTGCATGGAACCCACATCTAATTTGTCCATAGATTCTGATCTTTCTAAATCATAAAATTCGTCTTCTGAGTCCTCTTCAGATTCTCCTTTTGTGGCACCAGACTCTTCAACTGCAAGAGGATGTTCCTGCAGACCACGGTCTTGCTCATTTTTGGCCAAATTTACCTTTTTATTTACACGAATGCTCATCATATCCTCAATGGCATGTAGAGTTGGTCTGATCTCCGACCATATTTGGGCCTGATGAGTTTTTCTCACAACTGAGGTTGTTGTATCATCCTTTTCTATTGCACCTTCAAGATGACCCTCAGAACCACGCTTTTCAACGGTTTGATTATTGTCTTCATCTCCATTCTGTGAAAAGGAGCTTGCCTTCTGCAACAATGATCCAGTATCAGGTCTGCTGGAGATGCCGTCTGCAGACACCCCATTTATGATCAATTGGGCAGACTCTGCCTGACGTTCCAAAAAGTCATTCCACCTATCTGACCTCTCTTCCTCTTCTTCCTAGAAACAACACAAACAGATTATAACAATCAGAAAATATTTTTTTCTATAAATCAAAGAAAGTTTTTGCATGGTTGCTGAGAACTGTGGTAGAAGTACAATGGACGGAAGATTCTCAACATCGTTCAGCTGGGTTTTTTTCTGCTTCTTGTGTGGCTAATTAGTTGGATGAAAATTCGTTTAGTTGAATGCTCTTCTTTCTTCTATCCCTTCTCTCTACTTTACACAAACTTCTCACCAATAAATAGGACATTAATTACTAAAACCTGTAATCATGACAAGATAGTACCTTGTAGATATTAGCATATTCACGATATCTTTGTACATGCTGAGGCCGTACAGAGAATCCATAAGCATCCCTGTTCATATTGATAGTTATTGGTCAAAAACTCTTTTAGAAGAAAGCTTGATTGAAACAAAAATCTTGATTAGAAGAAGTTCCCAAAAAAATACATTAAATTAGATATTTCTTCATAATTGAGCATTATTTTTTAAAAGGAATTTATTTTTTCAGAAGTTTCATGACAGCTTTATAAAAATCAAAATAAGACAATGCAAGCTAATTGAACAAAACAACCGACTGTTAGCCACTTCACTTGTTCAATTGTTTACCAGCCAGCAGCTTCTGCAATAGCTGATAAAATTAGTAAACACAAATTATCGAGAAAACACTCAGTTAGTATCCACTGCTTCACCAAACACTCAAAATTGCTATTCAACACTTCAAATCTCGGTCATACTAATCAACACTCACTTTAAACTCATATATCAAAACAGAATTACAATAATCTAAAGACATAATACATAAACAAGTACTCAAACTTCGCCTCATCTAGCAATTAAGCGCTTCAACTTTGATTGCACACATCTAGACACCTCAACTTCAACTAAACACTCCAACTTGTGCTCACAGTGTCTCATGGACACACAATACACATACATTTTAGAGGTTTCCAGATGATCGTTTCATAAGTAGTAGTGTTAACTTGTCAGCTCAGGGCAAATTTGAGTATCTGTTTATATATTATGCCTAATCTAAATAAGTTCATTTTCAGCACTACATATCATCATTTTTTTTCCCTTTTTTGTTTGGTCCGGTGAAGTGTGATCCAGAATCCAGCAGCTTCATACAATGGATCAAAACGATTTACAAACAGAAATACAACGTGAAAAGGTAGAAAAACGAACTGACTGTATGTATACCTCTTATGATCGAAAGAAATGATGCAAGGATTCAACACAGTTGTTTCAGCATTTGTCTTCGTCATCATACAAACAACAATTCTCCAAAATCCTCACCGTCAAAACTGATTCAAACCTCTTTCCCCCTTAAAATTCTCCGTAAAATCCGAAAAATGACTCTATTTCAACTGAATTTTCAACTTTTTTTTGCTAGCATTCTACTCAAATGCTCCATACTCACATGGAAGAGAGCGAGTTTAGCGTCACGTTATTCTGACGGTATGTGCTGTGAGATTCCTTAACACGGAGTTCAGAGTGTGAGAGTGAGGAAAAAGGGGAGAGATTTTCTGAGAAAGAGAGATCTCAGGGATGGTGGATCAGGTTAAATGAACTAAGGCCCCATTGGTGGCCCATGACTTTTGTCCAAACTCCATAAAAAAAAAAACTCTTTACTTTTTTTCTGCTTATCGATGACTATGGGGACCAAAATCTTTACTCCGTCGTTTCGTTTCAAAATAAATGGTTGTTACTATTTTATTTTTAGTCAAATAAAAGTAACTTTTTTATTCACTTTTATTTGTCATTTTTAATATAGAAAGAAAAGACAATTGTATTTTTCTTGTTTTACTTTCAGTATTAATTATTTATTTTCAAAATTATTTTTCAAGATTTAAGACTATACTAATCAAATTAATATAGATATTATGATAAAATATGAGTGTTAATCAATGTTTCATTTTTTAAAAATAGCAATTTTTCCTTTTGCTCCATTTTTTTTTATTTAACTCTCTTTATTTTATAAAGATTATTGGTGTTGATTTTACTAGATAGTCAATTTTGGCTAGACTTTTACAATTTTAGTTTATGTATTTCTTTCAAGAAATTTTTATTTTTACACTTAAAATATCTAAAAATTAAGACAAAATGAGTGATTGATTTGTGACTAATTAGGACAAAAGGAGAGATTGATTTGTGATTGCATGCCAAAGAAACAAAAAATGCATTTTTTTGACAAATCTAATACTGGTGGTTACAATAATCAACATGACTATGACTCCACCAAAAAAGGTTGTTTGATAATTCGAACAGACAATCTTGAGCAACTTCGTACGATGCTAGCTAGTTGCTTCCATAGTAAATATTCCGTAACTCAAAATTATTCTTTAAATCATTTCTAAAACTTAAAACTATACATCAATTGATATGGATATTATAATAAAATACTTATAATCATTATCAAGTAAAAGTTACAAAAGGAGAGTTTCCAATGTTTCATTAACAAACAATATAATTGCTGGTAGAAGATTGGTTACAAGTTAAAGGACTTGTAAACATTTTTTCATCATCAAAAAGGAAAAAAAATGTTGAACTCTAAGTTTGGTAGGGAGGGAATGGATCCACGCAACGCAAATCCGAAATAGTCAGGCTCCAATGCGGGTACCAAATACTGGGTGGGGAAACAAAACAGAAAACAAATGATGTCTCAAATGTTATTTGACCTAGTAGCTTCAAAGATACAAGAGAATCTGAGAGATCATGATTATTACAACTTACAAGAGAGTTCAGTTCATGTCAATTAGTATTTTGAAAGCTCTATGGTGACACAGTATGTGAAAATAACTCATTTTGCCAATACCAAAAAGGGCAAAAGTATATTTAACAGGATACATACACTAATGGGGAGTCTAAATTAGTCATATGTTATGGAACAAAATTTGAAATGGTGGCTGGGAAATCACAAGGCATCTGATAAGTATGTATTTCGACAGAGGAATCAAATCTAGTGTTTGTCGTCTTTGGGGATGTCCTTCTGAGGTATCTCCTTCGGCTTTGCCTTCTCCATTCCCCTACAAAAATATCAATGGCATGTCACGACTCACGTCTATCTCATTCACACAAACAGAATGATGACTGCAACTAATAACCAAACAAGCAAAAGTGAAGGATTCAATATAAAGAGAAACAAATATGATAAGATGAGATGAGCAAAGATTTAAGATACAAGAGAAGACGAGAAATGATGAATGAAAAAAAAGAAGCGCAAGGAGAAAGAGTTTTTGAATAAAATTCATAAAACAGTTCTATGGGACTTAGGCTTCTAACTATAGAAGAATAAAACATATTGTTTCATGTTATTATGCATTGAATTTTGCTATCATATTCCGAAACTATTTTTGGATATCATATACAAGCTTCATGGTATACCAGAAGACATCATCAGCGATAGAGCTCCAATGTTTACTAGCAAAATGTGGCAACAACTTTTCTCTATGCTTGGACACTAATTGGCCAGTTGTCGAGCTGTACTACCAATAGTCAGGGGGCTGAACACTAAATGTGCGTGTGGAACGACCAACTGAACCGAACCGTTTTGAGACCTTTTGACAGGCCTAATGTTGAAGAAGAATATAAACCATTATGTAACTTCCATTCTTCTCTTCAACAGGGTACTTTCTTTCTACCCAAAGGTATAATAGCAGATATGGCAAATTTTGAGTTATGGAGGAAATTAGCAGAAAGAAAAGAGAACCAAGAACATTCTAACTAGAACTGATTAGTGTTAAGCCAGTCAATTACTTCTCACACTGCTACCCTTGTAGCAATAGCACGACTAGTTCTACGAATATGGTCAGTTCTAATGCTTATCACTTAGCATTCATCAATGGATAACTTTTTCAATCCAAACAGAGATGACTAAATGCAAACTATAAGCACAAGACGACTAACTTCAACCAGATAACAAAATGAACAGAGCAAATACTTGATTAGAAACAGGAAAGAGAAATACGAGTAGACGACATACTTAGCGGCGGAAGCAGACTCTTCCTCAAGCCAGTGGCGAATTTGACGAACGTTGCGCTTGAAGATGGAGGCAGACTGTTTAACGTCGCTCCTCATCAGTAAAACCACAGCGCTCACTCCCGCAACTGTCAGTATAAAGTTCGTTAACGCCATTCTGGAGATCAATTCGTTTCTTTGATTGTGAAATTGCTTGAACCTTGCGATTAATCAAGTGGAGATGAATATATGATCAGCACGGTGATCTAATTTGAATGTAAATTTAACAGTTTGCTTCAAAAATGAAACAAAACGTAATCCTAAATGAAGAAATTACAGTGATTTAATCGGCAGCGGTAGAGGTGAACTTCAGGAGAACGCCGTGAGTAACAGAGAGGGGCTGCAGTGAGTACCGAACTAGATCTCAGAGCAAGAGTGTTCATTAGGGTTTGAGTTGATTTTAGTTAAATTGAAAAACAAAATTAATTTTAGTTAAATTTTGAAATTTTAAAAACATCAAAAAATTATTTTTACCTTTTTCAGTCACAAAAAATCAAAAGTTACTTCAATTTATATTCATGACCAAATACAATCTAATTTTCAATTACTATCATTTTTTCATTTGAAAACAAAAAAATACTTTTTTCAAATTTTCATATGAAATATCCAAACATTCACCTATAAGTAGAAAAAACAAATCTCTTATAAAAAATAACATAAATTTTATTTTTTAGTAAATTATAAATGACCTATAAAATCGTAACTTTATAAGATAAAAAAAATATAAAATATAAATATATCATTTAATTTGAGATTTTTATATCTTAGATCCTAATCTTGCTAGTGATATATGAGAAAAGCACGTACAAAATTGAAAAACCAAAATATGATTGAGATCGATTGCGCAAGTTAAAAGACATTATTAACAAAATAAGCCTCTTCACCAACCAGCTCGACTAACCTAAGCCTTTGTGCGTATTATTACCAAAAAAAATAAAATTGACGATGCTCGTGGGGCTCAAACTCAAAGCTGTGGTCTCTATTTATGGCCACATGCCCTACAATTTTTACCGCACCTTCTCCTCCACCGCCGCGCCAACAACAAATTTTCCGGTGGTGCCGACACACATTTACCGTTGCCGGAGGATCTCAACTCCGGCGCCGGGATTCTTGAAGGTCTCAGTTTTTTCCTGTCAGAAGGAGAAGGAGGAGGAGGAGTATGCCCCTTTTTCAGTGAGGAATATTTCTACCACTGGCATGGGCTATACACCTGGTAACAAGGAGGATCACCACAGGGAGAAGACATTGAGGTCGTCGTCGTCGTCGTCGTCATCAGCTCCATCAAAGTCTGATAAACTGCTCACACTGCCTACAATTTTGACAATCGGACGTGTAGCCGCTATTCCGGTTCTCGTTACCAGTAAGTTTTTGGGGGATACAATTAGTTTTGTTTAACCCTAGCTAATTGAGAGGGTGCAATGTGGTAAATTTAGTTGTGATATCTGAAATTGGAGTGTAATTGGAGCTGATTTTCTCCTTTTTGTGAGTTTCAATGTCTTAAGTTGATTAGTAGAATTGATTGATGCATTTAGATTGAAGAAGGAAGTATGTATTCGTTTTGCATTAAAGTTACTCAATTTGACTTATCCAGAAAAAAAAGGAAGTTGCTCAATTTGGTGTGAAATGATTGGTGTAATGAGTGGGAGAGGAGAAAGCCACTGATTTTCTTCCGAAATTCCGTGTACTAAGAAAACCTAGTTGTATCTTTTTGCAATGGAACAATGGTTTGGGAGCTGGAATAAGTAAAAAGAGATTTTGTTTTAAAAAAAAAATCCCTTTTGCTTGTTGAATTGCTAACTTGAGGAGCATGGTGCATATTGATTAGAGACAAGAAACAGATGATCCATATGAGGAAACTGTCCTGAATTCTGATCTAAAGGCTGTATAGAACTTCTTAATAGTTGAATAAAGAGAGTAGGCGTTTCAGATATCTGACGATTTAATGTAGTTGTCTTGTTATTAGTCTATTGTAAGCTTTTTATGTAAGCTTTTCTAATGAGTGGCATATGGGTTTGCTGATCTCTTTTATTACTTAATCTCAGAAGTTCTTGGATTGTAAGTTTCACTTGTTACCCTTTACACAGTCATTAGGACAAATCAGGATGAGAGGATAAGTTTATTAGAATTTCTTAACTTTTTCTATTTTCTTGGTTGGACAGCATAATTTGTTTTCAGATGATACACTGTAAAAGAAAACTGATTTTGTAGCCTTTTTAATATAGCATTCTACGTTGATAGCTGGTGGGGACCAACCGCTACAACAGGTATATTTATTGCTGCAGCAATAACTGATTGGCTTGATGGATATCTTGCTCGCAAGGTACATGCTTCTGCTGTTCAATAGAATCATTTCTTCTTGAATTATAATTTCTTATCTCAACTTTCAAAATTGGCTGGTTTGACACGTCCAGATGAACTTAGGAACTGCCTTTGGTGCATTTTTAGATCCAGTGGCTGATAAGGTATTTTCTCTTTATTCTTTAACTCACATGGCATTACCTGGAAGTTTGGCCAGTTTGCTAGCCAAGTTGCTTCCATTATCCATAATGTTTGAGACTCTTGAGCATCATTGCTTGTAATAAAAGAGCAGACATTTTTTATACAACTCTTCTCGACTTCAACAGCTAATGGTCGCTGCCACCTTGATCTTGTTGTGCACCAAACCTTTGGAGGCTAGTTTGTTTGGACAATTGCCATGGCTACTAACTGTACCTTCAATTGCTATAATTGGCAGGGAGGTGAGTGGATTAACTGTACTTCTGTTCATAATTGCATTTCCTTTCACATTGGCAGTGTTCCAAAGTGCCATAACGACGTGCTTTAGAGCATTATGGTTTCCAATCAAGATATCGTAAAACTTCCTTTGGATGACAGTCTGACAAGTGAGGGAGGATTTAGTGAAGGAATAATGCCGCTTTATACTAATATAGATTGCATTTCCTTTCACATGGTGTTTTTTTCAGAAATAGAACTTAAATTTGTGATATTAATAGTCATGAGATCAGGAACTATGTTGTCATAGTTCTTTTCTCTTGTAGGTGTGTAAACACCATAACGGACTTGCACTTTTCATTTTCGACATGGTTCTTTTTTGTTGCAGTATACCAGAGGAACATTTTGGATAATGAGTTTCTGAAAGAGTTTTTAAATTTGCAGAAGGTTTCACTAAGATTATATTTCTGTTAAATTCTATTGTACACTGGCCTTAGGGAAATAGAAGATGTTAGATGGACCATGAAAACTGTTAGCATTGGTGTGAAAAGTTTTGATCCTTTTAGCATTCTATTCACTCTATCAGTATACAATTATATTGCATGGGAGCATGTCTCTCGGTGGTCACTGGATCATTGCCCGCTGCACACTTCAGTTTTTATTTTACTTGTTTTTTCTGGTGATGGGGGGAGGTTGGAGTGGAGTTGCAAGGGCCTGGAAGAATAAGAAGAACTTAACTGAAAAATTCAAACCATATAGTAATTGGATCCATCATACACGTTAAATTTGATTAGCAATTTGAGCTTCTAGTATATTAGTAAGAAACTACAAATCTGTGTTATAAGGGAAATGAAAATGACATTTATCATGAGGTAAATTGTGTTAAGCAGTTAATAGTACTTTTGGTGTTGAACTGAATTATTATCTTAATTCTAGGTGCGTGAAAGCTGGCCCAGATACCACGGTCATAATTTTTTTTTATCTTAATTCTAATGCATAGATTTTCCACGTATAAGTTTAGTTGTTCAAAAGATAATATCTTTGCTATCGTTTCCCACAGTGTGGGATTACAATCACAATATTTTTTCTAGAGTTCCCTGAAGCTATTATTCATATCCTTCTTGCTGAAATGTATTTAGTTAGAACTGTTCCTCTTCATTTGTGTCAAGTAAACTATCGAGTATGAATATTTCAAGTAATGCTGCGAGGATAAACTTCTCTGAAACATGCAAGCACTGATCGTCTTAGATTGAAAAGAAAGAGGCATTTGAGAGCTCTTGAGAACATGGATTGGAACTGTGCGTATTCTTGATAAACCTTATTGTATTTTTAGATTATTAAGTTTTGCATAGTATGTGATCTTTCTGGTCTTTGAGATATCTTAGTCCATATTTAGCCTGGGAGTCGCTTTTGCTCAAGGTGCAATATCTGTTTTTCCATGATGCTCTTTTATTACCTTTTCTCAAATATACATCATACGATGCTTTTCCATGTTCCTCGAAAATCTTTTCACTGCATCTTTAGTTATTTTTCACTGTGGATGAATGATAAACACTGTTTTTTTTATTCATTTTGCAAATCTTTTTGTAGATAACTATGTCTGCAGTTAGAGAATGGGCAGCTTCTCAGGGTGGTAAACTTTCAGAGGTTCACAATCAACCTATTATTATTCACTCTTAAGAGTAATCCACTTCGTGATTTAGTTATCCCAGTATTAAATAATGAATTTTCCAGGCTGTTGCTGTGAATAACTTGGGGAAGTGGAAAACAGCCACTCAGATGACTGCATTGACCATCCTTCTCCTTACCAGAGATAGCAGGTAACTTTTCTGTTCTATACTCACGCTAATATTTGAAGGAAAAGGGATGTTGATTGTTTTGATTGAAGATTCATGTGAATGTTTCTTTGACCTCTGTAACTATCCTCTCTGCAGTTTATCAGGGGCTGGAACTTTTGTAGCTTCTGGTGTGATCTTGCTATATGTTTCAGCATGGTTAGCTTTATGGTCTCTGGTCGTGTATATGAGAAAGATATCGAAAGTATTGTTGATGTAGAAATCATGGCCAATGATCACATTGTGGCTCATGCTACTAGCTGTGGAGAAGCAGGTTGTACACAAGCTGATCCATGATTCTGCAAAAGGGAACTGCACTTTGCAGTTGCATCTCGACTATGAGTGAAGTTGCTAACTTAATTCTGACATACCTCGCCCCATATTTATCCGGTGCACTTTGGTTGTGACAGAGAGAAATGAAAATGTTGGCTGTGTTCAACATTTGCTATTCCATTTCATTCTTTAACCATATTCTTTAGTGAAATTGGAGGCTCAATAGGAATTATATCATCAAATACATGGAATTTGCTATATCTATTGTAATCGATTCTGACAGGAAGAATTTATACTCGAATATTGTTCCGGTTGAACCAGACGTATTTATGTCTCCTTCGGATCAATATTGCTGATGTCGTAAAGCATCTTACACATTGCAGTAACAGTTTATCATGCAATAAATTATGGACGAGGTGTTTGTTAAGAACAATAAGGTGTACAGAGTCGTTTTGAATTTTGATAAATTTCTCTGTTTAAGGTCATTCATTATCTGTCTTATCAGAGATGAAACATACGTGTGAAGAATTACCCGTCTGAGTTGGGCAGCTGTTGCAGTCGATGTTGATTGGACTCTTCAAAATTGTTGTGTTGTCGTACTCGTATAGGATCCTCTAAAAATGCAGGTTCTTTCACACATCAATTGAAGAGTTCGAACACAGCATACTTGCAGTTTGAATGTAAACGCAAAGAAATCCTTTTTAAAAGGAGGTAAATGATTTGAAATTTTGAATGTCAAGTGAAATCGGCAATGGAAATGTAATGAATTGAATTGATAAAAAAGCAACAACATTAAATGTAATTTCATGAGTGAAATATCGAGAAGATGGAGTGTACGCCAATTTTATCTTCACCTCTACCTTCAAAGGGTGAAAGAGATATATGCTGAAAATATAGAAGAGATGAGTTGACATTGAATTGATAAAAAAAGGAGAGGTAATAATAGCAAGGTTTAGTAGCTTAGTTGATTGACTATTTAAACTCCCACCTTGATGATGAAGTTTCGATTTCCCGTATTGTAATCCCCTCTCCACCCCAATATGAAAATAAAATAAAATAAAATATTAAGCTGTTAGGAATATGGTACCAAAACATGTTGAAATGAGTAATATGATTCCTCGCCCTAAATCACTTATATAAGCAGTTAAAATTCACAATAGCTATATTTTTAGTCTCTGTAATTGAAAATAGTCACTTGATAAAGTTTTAAATTTCACTATGATAATTTATGTTACTGGAACTTTTAAAAATTATTGATCTGTACGTGTCGAATCCTTCAAAATTAGTAAATTTATAAAGGATCTAACACATACAATAATATTTTAAAGAGTCTAATCAACATTAATGTTGATAGTTGAATTACTTTTCCAAAATAGGATTGAAAAGGAGCTAGTAAGCGTTATTTCTACCATACGAGTTTGTTATACTATAAAGTACAATTAGTAAGTGGCTTGTGCTGAATTTTAGGATAACTATTTAAATTACACTGGATGTATTGTTATTGTTGTATTTATAAACAATTCCATTCATTAATATTCATTTTATAAAATTCGAATTTAGGACTTTATTTTCTCTTTCAATTACGATTTGTTTAGATTGATTGGCTTTTCTTATTTACTTTTTATTCCAATTTCAGGATATTAATTTATGAATGAGTTTTGAATATTTCTATTTATTTAGGTCGAGATCTACATATATGAATTTAATGGGTTTGAATCAGTGGCGGCTCTACCCCTTTGAAAAAAAAGCAACCGTCTTAGGCCCCAAAATTTGAGGGGCCTCATTTTAAAATAATAATAATATGTTATACATAAAAAAATATTGAGTATTATTTGTAGAAAATATAAACTTTTCATAAAATAGCAAAGAAGTAATAGAAGTTTGATAAATTATGAGTACTATGTCTCAAGAAAGATTAAATAATTGGCTATAATAAACTTCATAAAAAAAATATATTCGAATTTAAGGCCTCTATTCGAATTTGGCTTTAGGCCACCGATTTATTAGAGCCGCCCCTGGTTTGAATGATCATTACATAAAATCTTCTTTTGGAGGTTATTACTTTTTTTCTCTTTCGATAGTTTAGTAGTAACAAATAAATGAGCGAGGCAGAAAATAGTAGGCAAACTATATAAACACACTTTAGATCCTAATTATAGAATTCAGGGTAGTTTGTAATATTACTTTCTATATCATATTTTGGCCGCGAGATACATGTATCATTAAAGGTGAGATACGTGTATCCGACAGTTTTAAAAGTCGAGATACACAAGTTATTAATTTGAATTAAAGGGGGTGTAACCAATTTCCTTAATTAAAGGATTAATTGATGACAAATTAACAACCCAAACTGATTACAAGATCCTTGCATGTGAACTCTAACAGGTTTTCATAAATAACGAAATCACAAACCAAAATAATTGTGTAACCCTAAACTTTATCTTCTTCATCAGTTCCTTCTTTGGTAGTTAATGCGAGATACATGTATCATTAAAGGCGAGATATGTGTATCCAACAGTTTTAAAGGGTTTAATTGTGTATCTGTTGTGTTAATTAAAGTTTGGCACATAATTCTTCCATTTTTGATTGGGTTGTTCCTAAACTTAGATCTATTTTCACTCTGAATGTTGGCAGATGAAGACCCTGCAATGACAAAATACATAACAAAACCGTTAATGAAAAACAAACAAAATAATCGGCATGGATTGGTATAGGATCGAAACTGAGATATACATTTAACAAGAATCATCCGATTTTAATTGTAAATGGTCATCCATTAAAATAGTTGAGAAACAACAAAAACAAACAATGTAAAACCTAATTTGTAAAAGTTTATAAAATCGAATTTTAGAGCAATATGAACTCTATCTCAGATACATGAATGGGATGTAAACCAAGATATATTAGAATAATGAAAAAAAAAACCTCTTTGTATACTTTTGACTATCAAGATTTAGTTTTGAATTAGGGACATGCAAATATGTATTGAGAGCAGTGGCGGAGCCAGGATGTTCGCTAAGGGGGTTCGAAGTATAAAGTAATAAATACGTGAGATGGGAAAGAAAAATATTAATCTTAACTCGCTAAATTTAACTTGTTTTGTTATGCTACGTTTAGGTTCTTACTTTTTACCCTGCTCCATCGATTTTTTTTTTTCAAATTCTTGTGCTCTTTTTTTCTTTAAGTTTTGTCATGTTTTATTTTATTTTGATTTTTTTTATTAAAAAAATTATGAATTAGTGCCCTTTCAATCTATGTTACTATAAAAATCACCAAGATTTTTTAAAGGGGTAAAAATTGACATATTTAGAAAATAAATAAATGACATTATCTTTTTTTTACTTCAATTAATTCAATTTACTAGGTTAGTCATTTGTAAAAAAACAAATGATCAATAAATCAAATAAGATTAGTTTAATTTTCATCTCCTTAGAATAGAATTGAAAAAAAATACAATGAATTAAAGAGAAAAAATTAAATTAAATAGATTTTGTTTAAAAAACTATTCACAATTTTAATATTTCTTCGTTCGGTTAAATTTAATTTACTTTATTATATATAAATATTTTTTCAAACTCAATTTAAAATTTAATAAAAATTTATCGTTTCTTCAACTTAGTACACATAAGAGAACTATGTAGAAACAAAATGAAAAATATAAATAAGAAGAATCTAAAAGAAAAATTTACAAAGAATGCGGCTAATAAATTTAAACAAAGATAAATTGAAAAAAAAAAATAGCATAAAAAGAAAATAATGAAAAATAAAAAGGATAAGGCTTCACATTGAACCAATGAGGCCTTTTCATTTGTTTGGGAATCTGGGCCCAAAACTTCTCAGCCCTTTTAAAGCATAAAAAAAAGATGAAAAAAACACTATTGCGATTTGTGCCTGAAACTCAGCCCTTCCAGGTGGAACTTGAACCCCTTGACCATTCCACTATCATTCTCTTTAGTGTTGAGGGGGTTCATTTTAATTAATATACCCATAAAATCAGAATTTGACCTTACATATATAGTGTAATTTTTCCGCGAGAGGGTTAGGGTGACCCCCTCGGTTCCATGTAGCTCCGCCCCTGATTGAGAAGATTAAGAAAGAGAGGGAGATAGTGGAGGTATTTGAAGATCGTGGAGGTGGGAGTGTGAGATACTGTCACGACCAAATATATATGATAATAAAGTATGTCTAATACTCTAGTTATATAGTTTCTCTAAAAATATTTAGTTCGAATTTTCTAGCAAAACAAAGATAGGAGCTTCCTAATTCTTTAAGACTTTAATCGAATCATATGTGTTACTGTTGATGATATATTTTATTAAAATGATTTTATTTAATAGTTCATTCGTTCTAATTAATGTGATCTACTCTCTCTGTTCAATAATAGTTGTTCACTATTGATTTGACACGATATAATAATAAGAGTAAAATAGACATAACATGATAAACTATTTATTAATTTAATAAATTGGTCAAATATTATTAGATATCGCAAAATAATATAATGAACAAATAAAGATGAACGGTAAAAGTATTTTTTAAGGTTTGTTTTTGGAAAATGACACACGTCTTAAATTTGTAAACAATGACTTTATGCGACGCATTTTCCCATAGATTTTTATATTCCTACCAATATTATAATATATTTTAAATCACAAATTTTAAACTTAGTAAATTTAATATTGATTCGAATTATATCTTATAGTCTCAAATCTCAAATATTATAATAATATCCCACCAACAACCCAAAGATCTTTTCGATTTTTGGGTCAGAACCGTCCAAGCTCCTTTTGTCTGATTTTTGTCTTCATTTGCATTTAATTAACCTAAATCTATGTCGGAGTTTTAATTAAGAATGGAAAAGGGTCAAAAATGCCCTTAAACTATATGAAAGGAATAAAAATGTCCTCTGTTTATAGTTTGACTAAAAAATGTCCTTACTATCAATATTTTGGCTCAAAAATGCCCTTGCAACCAATACTTTGGTTCAGAAATGCCCCTATAATTACAAAATGGGTCAAAATTGCCCTTTTCAAAATAAATATATTATATTTTTTTCTTTTTAAACACATCTTCATCCTAATTAAAATATTATTAAAGAACACTATTCTTGTTTTCTTTCTTCTAAAATCGCTTTAACAAATAAAATGTAGGAAATATTTTTTTCTTCTTAATCTCATTTTATCAATTAAAATAGAATAACTTCATGTACCCTTTCGACATATAATACATGTCATATATATAAGATCATAGTATATCCATCATTAATTTATATTTATATAACGATAAAAATAATGATAATAAAATAAGAAATATTTTTATTTTATATTTTTTTTTTCTGAATTTAAGTAAGATAAACATTTGGTAATTTTTTTTTAAAAACATTATTAGAAAAAGAATGTATTAAAAAGAAATTAATAATATATTAATTTGGAAAAT